ATTTTTCACAGATTCTGCAACCCAGGATTCACAGATTTTTCACAAAAATAATTCTTTCAACCCATGCCAGAGGTTGCCAGGATTCAGGGTTATAACCCTATTCTAATTACTAAGGCCCCTACATTAGCCTCCATCAGTCTGAATCACGGTTACCCTACACCCTAAACCGTCGTTTTTTTGTGTGTGCCAGGACCGGGTGTTCATTCTGTCCTTAGCTTCCTCGATAGGCAGCCATGGAAAAGGACCTGCTGGCAGCAGATCGCCCCGCATGCACTACACCCTTGAAGCCAGGGTTTAGGGTCAGGGTTTAGGCTTTAGGGTTGAGGGTTTCGTTATGGAACTTAAAACAGCAGTGATCAAAACAGTAAACAATGCATCATAAGTCCCATGTCTCCTGGTGAAAACCACGCCTGTCGGCCAGGCGCGTCACAGCTCCCTGAACCCCGAACAACCCCAAAAACTCACAGCGACCCAAACCCAAAGCAGCAAAACACAACCCTAATCCCTGCACCCTAATCCCTAAACCCCTAAACCCCTAAACCCTAAACCCCTAAACCCTAAACCCCTAAACCCTAAACCCTATGCCCTAATCCCTAAACCTCGAGCCGCAAGCTCTACACCCCCGACTCGTCGGGCCTGATGGCGGCTGCAAAACTTTGTCAGCCTTCACCTGCAACGCACGTACTTTTCTAAACTAGGGGCCCCTTTAATTTTAGGGTTCCAAGATACTTTTCTAAACTAAGGGCCCCTTGAATTTTAGAGTTCCCTAAAATGTAAAGGGAGCTAGAAAACGGTTTCTATAGGGTTTCTGTGAGGGTACTGTGTGGGCAGCTCTCTAAATTATGGCCCCGTTTTTAGGAAGCCAAAAAGAAAAGCGGCACCCTGAGAAAAAGGACCAAGTTCGTTCAAACTTCTAGAAAGGTTGATAAGTTAAAGGAAACTACAGGCGGGGAGTTTAGGCTATATAGGGCTTCTACAAGGCTTCCAAAGGTATACAGACCTTCTATAAGGCTCCTATAACGGTGACTAGCCTCCTGTAAATGTCCTATAACAAGACCCGAAGCCTATTGCAAAAAGCCTGTAACTCTGATATACTCTGGTTTACTCCAGCTACTCATGCCCGTTGGTGAGGGGAAGGGTTTACAGTTCAGGCCTTGCGCGTAGGACCGGTAGACAGGACCTCAGATCCGTCAACCAAGGGTTTAGGGTTTAGGGTTTAGGGTCTAGGGTTTAGGGTTTAGGGTTAGGCCTTGAATCAGGGCCTGGGGAGTGCTACAGTAGAACTGGAGAAGCACTCTTATACTTAAGATGGGGGCCTGAATGATTACCTGTGCTATTTTTGGGGCTCCTTCTTATATGTATAGTATAATATCCCCCCAAAACCCTATGCTAATTGGACCACAACCGTTTTCAACCACACCCCTTGCTTCTCGCCAGAACATCGGCAACATCACAACACACACACACACACACACACACCCACGCTCAACCCTAAACCCTGAACCCTAAACCTTAAAGCCTAAACCCTAAACCTTCAGCCCTAAACCCTAAACCCTGAACCCTGAAACCTAAAACTTAAACCCTAAACCTTAAACCTTAAACCCTAAACCCTGAACACTAAACCTTAAACCTTAAATCCTAAACCCTAAATCCTGAACCCTGAACCTTAAACCCTGAAAAATGAACTCTGAACCTTAAACCCTAAACCTTAAACCCTAAATCCTAAACCCTAAACCCTGAACCCCGAAACCTAAACCCTAAACCCTGAACCCTGAACCCTGAACCCGGAACCTGAACTTTGCAGCTTCACACGACCGGGAACTACAGGTGGGGAGATTAGGGTAAAACGGGCTTCTATAAGACTTCCATAAGGAATTTAGGCCTTCAATAAGGCTCCTATTATAGCGGTAACAACGCCCCCTCAGCCCCTGTTTATCCCATTGTGCGGATTGCGTGTGTCGCGCCACCCTGAAACCACCCCCTTTGGCCCCTATGGTACCCAACCCCTGCACCGTGCAGAAAGCAGCAGTCTGCGCATCAGACATGAATTACAATGCTTAATTATGAGGGTTGTATGGCGATGGTGATGGTGGCAGCCGTTCTTTTCATGGTACTGACGATGAAGATGACGACGAAAATGATGATGTTCAACCTGATGTCGAAGATGGTCGACTCGCGAGCCATGAGCAGTATNNTCCGACGGTTCGGTTCTAGGGCTGTTTTTTTTGATTTCTCTTTGCCTTGCAGCCAAGGTGACTGGCAATGTCCGCCCACTTTACAGACTGCGCAGTTGCAGGGAGAAGTGTCCAGCCGCCATGGATCCGTTGAAGAGGGAGCAGTAATGCTCCACAATTGGATGGCCATGGACCCAAGGAGAGGCACTCACAATTCCAGAACTTGTGAGCGACGATGAGACCTTGGCGAAGGAAACACCCTCGCCACGTGCCACTGAGATGGCCCAAGGTTCCTTGTTCGAAGTTATCAACCAAGAGCGAGAGCTCGCAAGCCAAGGCGCCCAGTGAAAGCTGAGTCAAAGATGGCCACTTGAGTGGCCCTGTGAGGGCCTTGAGCACATCCGAGCTGGCCTGGCGGCCCTGTATGTGGTACAGCGAGTCCGGCAGCTTCGGCACATCAAGCGTGGTATCAGTGATGATTTCTCGGAAGCCTGATGACTGCAAGACCCTGCGGAAGCTAAGTGTCTGCCAGACATCACAGGAGCTCATATCGTGAGCTTTGTTGTGCTCGAGCTCTTCGCCTCTGTGCTTCGCGAAGCCTTCTTCATTGATGGTGGTGCAAAAACCGCCGAAAGCCTCGTGAGCCCAGGCGATGAGACCTTTCGTGATCCTCCAGTCTGCTCTCTGCAGCTCTTCCACCACGTCTACCATGATTTGAAGACGAAAAGGGGATCTTTGATAAAAAGCCTTACACCATCTCTGGCGGCTATCCTTGCAAGCTTTGTCGGCTTGCCAAGCTCTGTAGAGGTACACCAGCATCTCGTGCTGTTCCTCTTCTGTCCCCAGGAGTGCTGCCAGTTTGTTCGGAAAGCCAAAGAGCGTCCCAGATGCATACACCAACTTGAAGTGCATCAGACTTAATGCCATGTCCAGCATCTGCTGCATCCTCTCATCTTGGATGGCCACCTCCGGTTCGTCGGCTTGCATTCTTGCGACGCGAAGACCCAGTAGTTCGGACTCTGACCACAGCTGCACACTTGCTAGAGTCTCGGGCAGCAGCAGTCGATCATAGATCCTCCCCACAATCTTGAAGGCCTCGCCACGAACTTCCATGAGCCAGTGCTTTCGGCATCCCTCAGTGCCTTCAGTTGCCATTTTGCGTATGCGATGAAGATCTTCACCTCAGTGCCCGCCCCCAACCGGATCACAGCAATGAAACACCGTTTAGACATAGCATTCACCGTGTCAAAGGCCCAGGAAGAGCAATGAAGCAGCGCATCACTCTAAGAGCAACTCATCCAAAACATCGTCTTGTGCTGACACCAACCCCGAAACGTTGACAGAGTGCATTCGACGCAGGTTCCGGGTCTGAGTTTCCAATTTCTGGTCGCTTTGAAAATTGTTGTCGTCCATTTTAAAGCATGTACGCCCGTGGAGATTTCTCTATTTGACTTGTAAGACAT